CAAGAATCGACGTGCAATGCATGTAACAATGTCACGTCCTCGTTGCAGACACTGGAGGCGCTACCATTCACGACACAAATGGCAAGACACATTTCACAAACCGGCTGCGATGCCGATTCGCGACAGTTCATCAAAATCACCGCGAATTGGGGCGACGAGGGTGGGAGGGGAAAGTGGCCGGGCGATTTGTTCTCTTAGATTACAGTGGGATTAGGCAATTTAAAAATTGAGAAATTTAGGCGAATTCAGGGAGCAGCCCCGTGATTAAAATGGGTTCTCGGGGGTAATGAGCGTTAGCCCTGTCACCTTTGACTGCACACGTAAATACAAAAAAGGCCATCGTATTAAAATTTGGTTCTGCACTTAATTTGCCTAAATTCCAGCTCTGAGGATTAAAAATATCAGTTTGTCAAGCGAAGAAAAAACATTAGTACTCTCACGTGGCAGGACAGGTGGAGAAATGCTGCCCCAATGCTGCATGGACTGAATATCATTTGCCAAGATCTCTGAAGCAGTTCCTTGATATCTGCTTTTCTGAGAGCTGTTCTCGAAGACAATGGGTAACCCTGCTCTGTGAGAGTTCAGAATGGATTCTTCGGATACAATTCTTTTGTAAAAATGACAAGAGAAAAGTAATTCCATTTTATTGTTATGACAATTTGGCCGAAGTTGGCGAGCTCTTGTGAACAATGTCCGAGGGCCTTCAAAGTGCACTTCACAGCAGACGGCCCGCACCATGGCACCGTAAATACTCGCTGAATGTATGGCCTTGGTGCTGGAAGCGGACCATCGATGCCATAGCAACGAGGTTGTACCACGCGTTAGTCGACATGGCTGTCCGACGTTTTGCTCCGCGTGCTCGGAGCTTCTTTGGGAAATGAAATGAGTTCCTGAATTAAGTTCCTAAATAAGGTCCCAGCACATGTATGTATGTATGGAACGAAACGTTGGGCATCAAGCCGAACAACCCCGTGGTACAACCTGAAACCACTTCTGAGAGCTGTACAACACAACTGTGAACACCTACGCAGTAGTGTAGTGCTTTAGATATGTGTGTACTTTAGATACACATACGTAGTGTTAGCTAGAGATACTACTGAGTGGCAGCACATTGGTCAGAACATTCTGCTATGAACCTGGTGGCTGGAGTTCGATACCTGGCGACGGCTCACATCCTGGTTGACTAATCGTCTCGCTACTGCCTGCGAGATGTATGAACGACACGATATGACACCAAACATTGGTACGGTTGTTATTAGTAGTAGGTAAGTGATATCAGATCTGGTCCTGGGCCTCCCCTAAGTGTACTCGGCCTCAAATGATCACCCGTGTAAAATATATTTCCACCAGGACAGTCGTGCTATGAAAACCAGCTGATAGCGGAGAGCGCGTCAACAACAGGATTATCCGGGGCCACTGGCGATAAAGATCGCGATAAAGATCTCGGGGCTGTCGGGGTCGTGCCGTTGGCTAGATTTGGGAGACGTGGGAGTTTTTTTGTCGAGACGGAAAAGCATTGCGGGTGCTCGTGTTTGAATTTCCGCACGCTTTTTCGGGTGTCAGGGTGGCCGCGGTACAGCAACGCTCATCGCTAGAAGGAGGCTGGGTTCGATTCCCGACTCGGGCACCCATTCATGTGGAGTGTCTGTGTTCTCCCATTGTTCTGCGTGGGTTTACTCTGGGTCCACAGGTGTCCACCCGTAGCTAACAAAAGTAACCCGTGCAATGTAACTGGTATTGGCCAAACATCTCCAGAACTGACAGATGACCTGCGAATTACTCAATCGGGGTTACATATAGCAGCAGCAGCGTCGCCGCTCCCTGACTGCAAGTTACTCTGCACCTTCTAGAAATGAGTTGTGAGACTCAGCGAGGCTTTCTCGGGTAAAAAGGCGTATTTAAATTAAAGAAAAAAAATAACTCAGGGTGGCTGGCATTATCAATGATTCATGTGGAGTGTCTTTGTTCTCCCCCTGCTCTGTGTGGGTTTCCCTCTGGGTCCACCGGTGTCCACCCGTAGCTAACAAAAGCAACCCGTGCAATACAACTGGTATTGGCCAAACATCTTCAGAGCTGACAGATGACCTGCGAATTGCTCAATTGAGGTTGCATATAGCAGCAGCAGCAGCGTCGCCGCTCCCTGACTGCAAGTTACTCTGCACCTTCTAGAAATGAGTTGTGAGACTCAGCGAGGATTTCTAGGGTAAAAAAGCGTATTTAAATTAAAAAAAGAACTCAGGGTGGCTGGCATTATCAATGGATGCGGATCTATTTATCATTCCGCAAAATAATCAGTAACACGTGTTGTTCTGGAGAATATAAGTAACGAAACACATGAACCAAGGGCATATCTCCTCTGTCACATTTGTCTCTGTACGTAAGAAAACAACAACGGCATTTTTAACGCATGGCCCACAGCGCTGGGTTTTCCCGACATGCTCTGGTTCTCTCCTTCCACACGTATAAACATCTTAATATATCGAGGACCGCAGAGCTGGTGAAATTGTTGGCACCGGCCCACCGATTGGCTGCTGCCTTCCCGCTTGTCTGCGGTCGCTCACGCCTCTGAGTATCTCTCTCTGTCAAGAATGAGTGAATACTGTGCGCGTTCACAAGTTGGCGTCATTATTATTATCAATACAAGCGTTACTGTGGAGCCGCTTCGATGTTCAGTGTCTCATCAACTGAGTCAGCTTGCCAGGCAATGCACACCACGCACCGACGAATGAGCTAATTTCGACACACGACACTCGCTAACCCGCAAGGCATTGAGTCACCACACTTCTTGAGAATAAATACACCCTGCTTCGAAGGATGATTAACGCAAGGCACATTTCCCATGCACGCTGGCTATCAAGTCACTTCATACGAATGACAGTAGAATCTGAATTTACTGGTAGGAACCACCTGGTTCCACCAGCCCACAGGGGATTCTTGTGTCCGTCCATCGTGCATCCAAAAATGGGAGGGGTGGGGCTGGGTGGAGAGGGGAGTGTGGGGAGGGACTGGGTGGGGAGGGTGGGGCTGGGTGGGGGGTGGGAGGGGTGGGGCTGGTGACCCCGTGGTGCCCTTATAAAACTCAACGTTTAACCTACTCACGCCGGCTTGTGCCCGCCCTCACAGTCGGGCATATTTGCGGAATACACCACGCCGCCGTTGACCCTAGCCATTGACCGAGCAACCCAACGTTCCTACCAGCTCCCTCCGCAGGAATGTGTTATCTGAACTCGTGTACTTGTCTCTGAAGTTTCCATTTGTCTTTACTCCCACCAGTGTGATATAAACATGTTTTTCCTAAACCAGGACTGAGCTTATATACCAAACGAAAAGAAACACGTAGGCTTTTGCGGCCAATATCATCCATAGCACAGGTTTTTTTGTGTTTAGATCGCGTAATTATGCGTATTTACGCGATCTGACCCAAACCTGTATTACGCAAATAAAACACATTCGCCCGATAACACTGCCTTAAAATGAAAAAATTTACAAATATATAAAAAAAATTTGGGTTATCTGTGCTTGGGCACATACCACAGGAAATACAGCAGCATCACCAACAAATAATTTGTGTGCTTATATAAGGGGTGCTTCTACGCAACTGTTTTGTATAACTGCGCAATTATTAACATCGCGTAAGCCATCATTTTTGTCAAGCAAAAATAACATCTCGCAAAATTTAACGAGACGCTATCTGAACGATAATTACAATTTTGTGCAAGCGCAGACAACGGTGTTAACGAGACTTGAAGACAACTCGCCATGCGCCGCTATCATGGAACGTCAAACAATAATAACTTTGTAGCCCTTTACACTATGAGACATCTACTTTACCAGTGGCAAAATATAGTAGTAGATTTTTACCCTTTAAACTGGTACAAAACTGACACATTTAAACAAGGCATCATGTTTGCAATAACCACAACACAAGCAGTCAAAATGTAAACAAAAAGAAACAACTCTGGTAATGGTAATGATATGCTCTGTCCTTGAAGTTGATTGGTCCACACCCGAGACAGCTTTCCTTAGAGCCTAGTCTCCATTGGTGTTGGACCAGATGACGCCAAAAGGCGTACAACTCAAAAACAGCGCACTATCAGAGTATTGAGAGCTCGGGTTAAGCATTTGTTTGCATTTTGACTGCTTGTGTTGTGGTGATTGCAAACATGATGCCTTGTATAAAGGTGTCAGTTTTGTACCAGTTTAAAGGGTAAAAACCTACTACTGCTTGTAGCCCTTTGTCAATCCACTGCTAGATGCATGTCTCCCCACGTCGTGCCAGTTGCTCGACCGTACGTCATCACACCAAACACCTGTCAAGCGCAATGCAAACGTGTAGCAAGGACGACTACATGTCTTGAGATTCTCCTTCACCCGCACCTCCGGTTAGCGCGGTTGGCTCCGTACGGTGCGAAGGAAGAACAACGTACGCACAAGCAATATTGGCAAAGAGACGGACGGGAGCAAGTTGAGAGCGCCTTTCGGAAAAACTGAGCCCGATAATAAACTTGACAATACAAAATGAAGCGAGTCGTATTGACGGATGGACGCAATTCCCGACGGAACGCCTCCGTTTGCCCGGCGCTGCGTGGAAGGGGGAGGGGGGGCGGAGGAAGGGAGGGGGATCATCTTCTTGGTTCTTTCGGTAAAGTCACGTGGAAGGGAAATAATAAAATAATAAAAATAAAACATATTAAAATAATTCTCACGACGTTTCGGCCACAACGCAAGCAGCCGTCCTCAGGTGAAGAACAGGTCTGTCGGAAAGACGGCGTCTGAAAGTCGGAAAGACAGCGTCTGAAATTCAGACGCTGTCTTTCCGACAGACCTGTTCTTCACCTGAGGACGGCTGCTTGCGTTGTGGCCGAAACGTCGTGAGAATTATTTTAATATGTTTTATTTTTATTATTTTATTATTTCCCTTCCACGTGACTTTACCGAAAGAACCAAGAAGACGAATCCCTGCAGTCACTAAAGCTTTAAATCGGAGGGGGATCACTCACGGCGGCGCTGAGAAGCACGAGATGGGTGCGCGGGCGGCCTGCATGATGCCCTCGTGCACGGGGGCCGCCGGCATGGTGGCCTGGCGCGCCAGCAGGACCCGTTCCTTCTGCGACTTCCTCCTCACCGAGGCCATGGCTGTGGTCACGTGACGCTCACGCTGGGAAACGAGGGGGCGAGAGCGACACGGAGCGCGGTTAGCGACGACGGCAACCACGGTAACTCCACTGCTGGATGAAGAACTAACCCGAGCCGACGCCGCCGCCGCCTACCGTGAAACTGCGGTGCGACAATCCACCCGGCGCCTGCACACGAACCGATTTAATCGCTCCATTCGTTTTTTTTATCAGTTGCAAAATGTAATTTTAAAAAAACTGTAAACATTTCAGAGCCTTTTGTCTATCCACTGCCGGCTGAAGGCCTCGGCCGCGCTGTTTTTTTACTCGGGAAGTTTTGACTGATGAGTCTCAAGACCGTTTTGTCCAGGTGGGTCCTGAATCGCGATGTTTGGCCAATTCCACTGAAGAGTGTTTGGCATGTGGGAGGAGGAATCCAGAGGGAAGCCACAAATACGAGGTGGACAGGGGTAGGCGGGGGGAGGGTAACACTCCAAGTTCCACACAGATAGAGTCATGAATCATCTGCTGTGCTGCCACCACGAAGGCCCAACCTATAACACCTGATATTCCAAAGGCAGTCTCCCATTCGACTACGAGCCAAACGCTGCCGGGCTTCTGAGCTGAGGGTGATTCCGTTGTGGGCGACCGTAGGACATTCACCTGTTAATATTTAGAGTCTTCCAATCAGAGGCAGACTAAATGAACCCTCTCGTGCATGAATTATTAAAATAAAATAAATATATAAAATCAAAGTGGGTCCATCACAGAGGGGGTGATGCATTTAAGCGGTGGGTTACCGTACAGCCAGCCATATGTTAATAAGGTTACAACGACATGACAGACCCCTGAAGGACTTCACGTGACGGGCGCACTCTATTCATTTATTTATTCATTCATTCCCTAATGCCATGTAAATGTATTTCAGGTGAAAAATTCTATCGAGACGTATTAACTCTCTCCTAAAAGGCAATCGGGATATGGTTGAGAGGAGAAAAAAATATGCAAAAATCGAAATCAAAAGTGGGACGTAATGAAAATCATTTGGCCTTTTTAAGGTGCAGCGGGCTTGGTCGGGAGGGAAGGACTCACGAATGAACGATTGCGTAAACGAGGGTGTGCGCTTGCCTCTCTCCCTCGGCCAGGGCCGCGTGCCAAGTGCCACGAGCGAGCCGGTGACGATTTTAAATTCGTTCGTTCCATCGTTCACTCGCACGCGGTCACATGCCCGCGCGCGCCTCGCGGCTGACAAGTCACACGGAGTGCGCGCGCGTGGAGCTTTAATTAACGGAGCCTCGACTCATTCGCCGCTGCTCAGAGTGGGCACCCGGAGTGGTGGCACTGCTGCGTAAACAGGCATCTCAATAAAACGCTGAATATGTATGTGAATACACAAAGAACCCCCCCTCCCCCCACACACACACCCCACTCCGTGCAGCCTACTCAGGCTCTTGGGCTGAAGTCCTGTTTGCACACAGAACCAGGTGCGCGTCCAAGAATGAGTCGACCTAGGTTCTAGGTCAGGGGTGGGGAACCTTTTTTTCTGCCAAGGGCCATTTGGATATTTATAACATCATTCGCGGGCCATACAAAATTATCAACTTAAAAATTAGGCTGTGACATTTGCTCAAACGTTTAATTAACTCGCCCCTAATGTGATGGTTGGAACTGCTTCTCTTTGGCGAGGCGTGTGGTGTTAGCTGGTATTGATGATGTTGCTACTCGCAACTGCTTTGCCAGGTTTGCTCCTAGATTTATTGAATTTCGAGTCCCGCCTGCGGTTGCCTTGGCAGGGCCAGACCAAATGATTTCGCAGGCCTAATACAGCCCGCGGGCCGGACGTTCCCCACCCCTGTTCTTGGTGATGTCCAGGACCGATGCAGATGATCACCACTGATGCTTGCCGTGGCTGGGAATCGAATTCGGGCCACCGCGTTTTGTCGCGCAGTGCACTGGCCATGACGCGACCGCTCGCCACGCACCCGCAACCGCATGAGGCTAGGGTCGGATCGGGTGTGCAGTCAAACCAATAATATCAGTCTCCCTTGATCGTCTCTGTTGGTAACCCAGAGACAGTGCTGGAAATTCATTTTCCCACGGCAAGGGAATTTTATTCGTAAGGAAGCCACTGATGGCTTTTTACGGAGCGGCCATCATCACCATCGACCATGATCAATCCTCTGCTGGATTAGGAACTCTCCAAGCTGTCGCCTCTGAGATGTAACGAGCCACCTTCCACCATCATACGAGCTGATTTCATTGCTCCTTCTCCTGAACAAACGTCCTCACGGCCGCGAACCATTCATTGGCTGCAATCGTCTATGCTGGCGATGGTACCTGTCATACCTGGACGACTGTGATGGAGTGAGTGAATTATTTCGATTCTGATCATCTTCCAAAAGGGCTATAGAGCTGAAATTTAACAGTAGTAACATAATCAAATCGAACATATTCAAATGGAAAATTACAGTTCATTACTTTCAATCGTATAAGGGCAGGGGGGGTCAGGCTAACGTTCAAAATAGCTTTAAGTCTCGCGATAAACACGAAACAATAATTAAAATGTACAATCCCCATAATCAGTGAGCCAAGGAATCCACCTCCAGCAGGGTGTGACGGCAGATCTGATAGAAAGCAAGCAAATCGAGCAACCTGTTACTGGCACCTTATACGTACAGACATCATATGTACGCTGTTCGTTCTGCAAGTGTGTGTGTGTGTGTGTACACGTGCAGCGAATATATCCTCTATACACTCTACAAGTGCAGCGTATGCGTGTGTGTGTGCGCGTGTGCAGTGTATGGAGGGCATGCATACGCTGTAGGTGTACACGCGTGCTCCGCGTGCATGAATTATTAAAAGCAACACCAACATTTTGTTTGGTTTAATGCCATTTTAGAAGTCAAAGGTAAGCCCTCTCAGATGTATTGAAAAAATTGTGTAATTGAATTCCATAGCAGTCACATAAATCATATCGGTCCACCACAATGGGCAGAATGCATGAGAGCAGTGCAATGCTCTCCGCACATCACAATAGGAAGAAGAATGCGGCGACTGCGGTGCCATGATTAGCACGCTGGACTTTAAATCCAGAGGTTGCTGGCTCAATGTCCCGGTGCGGCGGTTGAAACAATGGTTTCTTAAATCCCCATATCCTTGCCACCCCCTGCCACCCCCAGCAGTATAAATGGAGACACAGACACCACAGTGAGCCGGCTTGGCAGGCCATGTGTGGTGGGACAAATTATGGCTACTCAATTCTCCTTCAAGACGTCTGGCCAGAATTGAAGAGTAGGCCAAATACCCTCTATATCTACCTCTCTAGTGAAGGCCCTTCCGCCAACAGGGGCGTGGGCGAGCAACTTGCAGGGCCGCGCCTTTACCTTTATTTATTTTTGGACCAATAAAATCTCATTGCTGTCAACAGACATCCACCGTGGGGAAATTGTCGTGGCCAAATTGGACGAATGACCCAATCGCGGTAAATGTATCCCCCTCCACGTTTTAAGACAATTAGTGAGTAATACGCACCTGTGCTGGGCGACTTGCCCTATATGACAAGATTACGGCATGGTGTAGCATTTTTGGCCCTTCCGCCAGCAGCGGAGTGAAGAATAAATGGTAGGGCTGCAGCTTCGCGTTGTTAGAATTTTTTTTTTTACAAGGAATCGCATGGGCTGCACTCATCTAAACACAGGTCTGTGGCAGACAGAGCTGGGGGAGAGGCAAGCAACCGTGATGGGGGTTCCACGTATAATGCCCTGTCAATCGGACACACGTGCCACAGGTTCTCATTGCCTGCTCACATCTAATCAAATGCGCCGTGTCACTCTTTTCAAGACGTATAATGGAAAAATCGCTCTATCCGTTCTCTCCCCCCCCTACCACCTCGACCTCCCCTGCCGCCACCACCATCACCACGGCTCTACATCTCCCACTCTTTCTCTGTCTCTCTCTATATGCTCGCTGTAATGTCCAGGCCGTGAGTGGAGATGGCTTCTATTTAAATTCATGGTAAGTGATTCCCCCCCCCCCTACCCATCGTATTTACGAGCAGGCAAATCTGCACACTTTTTTTTTAGCACTTTTCATTTTTTTGTTCCGTGTTTTTGTTTGTTGTTGACCTTGTGCGCCCGAAGTAATCGGGCCATGTCACTCACAGCAGTGCAGCGAGCGCGGTTGGAGGTGCATTCAGCCCATCATCCCTCCAGGGTCCATCATCCCTCCATCATCCCTCCATCATCCCTCCAGCCCATCATCCTTCCAGACCATCATCCCTCCATCATCCCTCCATCATCCCTCCATCATTCCTCCAGCCCATCATCCCTCCAGGGTCAATAAACCAAGTACCACTTTGCTGCGGAGTCAACAGCGGTTGTCCTACTGGTGGACTCACCCCTGCCATTGGAATGTAGAATTTTGCACCACTGGCTCGGGGGCTGTCAACGGGAGGTAAGAATCACCTCGATTTTAACAAGACGTCGCTGCGACTTCCCCAGTGATTTCCAACAGCGGGCTACATAGCAGTTGTGATGCGTTATCCTGATGTGCAAGTTCCTCATCGCTGCTCCACCAGTACGAGCCGCGCCTCTTATTGGGCGGTGCATGAGTTGAACCCTTACCGGCACAGGTACAACAACAATTCATCGATGAAATATTAACCGATGCTTTTAAAAGCTCACCGTGTTTGGCTTCGCGTTCGAGGAAAACCCCAACATATCCAGAGAAAACCCAGCACGCTGCACAAAGGGGAGTAACACTCAGCACTGCCATCTCCTGATCACCTTGCAGCCCCACACCTACAACACCTGGCAAGCCATAACAGTCAACTCCGCTTAGCTTCTTAGATCGGATGCGATGGGGTGCGGTGAGGGCGAATGTCCCAAGGCGTCGTTGACTAATGCACGCTGCCCCAATCCTCGTGAGACAAAAACCCACGTCGCTCTCTCGCAAAAGTGCATCCTGGTGTCAGTGGGGGCTCTTCGCCATCAACAGCCGTGAGTCATCCACTGCTGGATGAAAGCCGCCCCACGTCGGCACTCTC